TTATATATGTGCGTGTGTGTTGTGTGTGTGTGTTCATTTATCTACATATTTGATTATTTAGTTTAGGAAATAAAATGCTGACAAAGACATATTGACATTATTATTATTATTATTTATATTATTTTATTATTTAACTATTATTATTCCTACTACTACTATTGAAGATAAAAACTTTTTGTGTATTCTTTTTGATAATATAAAAATCCAATCTCAGTCAATTAATTATTGAATGAAGTAGGATCCTAATGTTGCCGCTGGTAAAATGTGTTTACGTAACGTATTCAACTGATTTGTGTCATCCGTNGCACGCACACAACACACACACACACACAAACACACACAACACACACACACACACAAACACACACAACACACACACACACACACAAACACACACAACACACACACCAACACACACACACAAACACACACAAACACACACACACAGCCCATCACACACAACACACACACACAGTTCATCACACACACACACACAAATACACATCTACACACATAGAGTACACCTTAACATTTGATTTAGTCCAGGTTTTGTTATCTTGTAAAAGATTACGGTTTCAGTTCGCGTTGTATTTTTGTTACACTGTTCTCACAAATGTTTCTCTCTTTTTGCGTTAGACTTTCGTGCAAGTGGACCAACGTGGTACGATCACTTCGACGGTTCTTATGTAAATAAAAGTGTGTCGTTTGATTGTATTTGGCGTGTGTTTATCGTCGTGTTTATGCCTATGATTGTTTATGTTAATAATTGTTTTGTTAAGTTAATGGTCGAAGTATGTGAGTTAGTTAATGCAGTTTTCGCTAATGGTTATATTTGTTTCTATCTGTTATAACAACAGACAGCAACATAAGTTTTTACAAAAATAAGAATGACAGTTATTATAAATAATTAGTTGTAATGATAAATGATCAACACAAATATACAAACATCCATGAACATACAGACACATACACGTGCATACAATCGCACACAAAAACGCACACAAATGCAAACATCTACACACGCAGACATACATAAAAATAAAAGACACACTACACACATTTAACAAAACAAATCCTACCCTAGTTTCAATGACCTTCAAAGAAACAACACAGACCTGTCAAACACACAGATGCGTACGTACATACACACAAATACACGCGTGAAATCACACACACACACACACACACGTTTTACATAAAAATGATAGCTGCTGAGTTGGCTCATCACTTGTCTTCTGCAGATGTTGCGGGCGGATGACCAGGTTCGACCGCACGCGAAACTGAATTTCTACTCCATCGTACACTTACATTGTTTGTCCCAACTCACATTAAACCATGTGGTGCACATGTTTAAGTTAAACTAAATAATGAACGGTTTTAAAAAACATGTAAATAAATAAATTAAAATAAATAAATTAAAATAAATAAATAAAATAAATAAATAAAAACTGAAAAAAGTGTTTATGATATACATTTACAGAAAGATGTGAGGACATAAAATTTAGACAAAATTAGAGCAAATTTTTTCAAAAATAAACAAAGATATAAAACCATAAATATACATAAGGACATATACAAACAAACACACGCAGACACAAACAGACAGAAAAACCAACAAAAATACAATCGTGAACAAATATACATTAACACACAAAAACTTATACAGTCACAAACTAATCAACACATACACAGTTATATAGACAAACATACATAAACAAACAAACATACATAAACAAACATATTCAGACTAACTTTTCCTCTAGAATAGTGTTAATGTGACTTTAGAGGCATGTCCTGTGGTGTTCCTTAACTGATTGACGGATCGTTTCAATTTCATTAACATATTTTCAAGTAGTAGACTTCTAAATAAATAAGGCCTTATAACCACTACTGCAGCAAATACTTTA